AGCAGGCGACATAATCTGCTGCTCACTGCCTGGCTCCATCCTTAGGTATACGCCTCATCTTCAAAGTGCAGTGCTATTACAGGGCCGTTGGACTCCTGTTTTCACCTTAACCTTCAAACGCGATGAGCTGTTTTCATCTGAACATACCAGCTGCATTAGCAGCTACGAATGTGTAACTGCTGAACTTATCTGATACGTTACGAAACCTGGAACTGCACTTTTTACCTTTTTGTCAGCTAACTGCATCCATAGCGCACAAAATTCTTCCTCGCGAAGATCCTTTTCTTCCTTAGATCACTCCACAGTTCGTACCACAATCCCAGTGCACCCAGTCTGTGTGCACGCAGATGCATGTATACAACATGGGGTACCAGATAGCTCTTGAATTTGATCCCATTTTACCCGCCCGGCGCCAGAAGGACAAGGCGTTTTCGTTTGCAACCCGGCGGGACCGAGTGATTCTCGCAGTAGCCTTAGCCAACGCGATGGTGATGGTTGCGTAGCAGCGAAGCGTCAATACATCTTACTGTTGGTGTCTTTTTGGACCCATTTTGTGGCATCGTGACATGCGGTGCCCATCGATCATGCTTTAAGTGATGCTTAGCTGCGTTCGACACTCATACTCACGTAACCACATTACTGCCATTCACCTGTTGTGTTATCATCGACTCTGGGGCCGTCAGTCGATTAGCTGAAACTGGGTAGTAAGGCGCACTGATGAACACTGTTCAACATTATTCCACATTATCTGACCACAACGAGAAGAGTTAGTTTGGTCGAACGCTTGTGTAACCCGACGTAGGTGACTGGCGCTTGAGTTGTGATGACCGATGTTCCCACTGCATCGGCTGAGGTCCCTTTAGTAGCGATGACCTGTGACGCATTCACTTACAGCCCGAATGGACCACCACCACGTTTGTGACGGGATCGTATATCGTCAGGTCACTTGGAACGAAGCGATTTTACTTCCTTCGCATACTCTGCTCTGGACGCTTGTTTTCCCAAGCCTATTCTCCCCCTCCGTGTGTCCTTACTTGTACTGCAGAAAAATTCCCGAGTCCCCACCCTTTGGTATCGTGTACCGTTGGAGTTTATCGGTTCATCTTGATTTCATCTTTGGATTGCATTACGACAGATGATGGGGTGCATATCTTCACTAACCTCGAAGGTATAGGCTCTCAACTGGATGAGCGATCGATGTCATGTGGCACTACACTTATACGGTAGATTATGCCACATTTGCATCTTTGAATTTCTGCTATCCATCGTGGGATCTGGTGGTGTATGTGCAGAGCTGTCAATGCACCCGGTTTCGGCGCCGTCGTGCGTTGTTTAACTTAAAACGGTCGTCAAGCACCTCGTCTCTGAGTCCGACGATGCAGTGCTCATTGATGAATGGTTTTTCGTTTGCTTTTGCATCAACTCGTGATCTATTCGCTCGTTGTTTTGTATGCAACGATGTTGCAGCAGGTTGTAAACTCATACTTTATCTGAGGCCAACAAGCTTGGGTAAAAATGGTATCAGCAGTCCGCCGGTATGCAGTACCGACGCTTCGCTACCGCGCAACCACCAACAGTTTCACGTGAACGAAGGGTACTGCGAGGGTCGCCCGGTCCCTGCGCCAGCTCGAACCCGCGCCCTTGGATTACAAGGCAGGCTTAAGGTTCTTAAGCCTACGGGCCGATTTCACAATTGCTTAGTTCTTTGGATTAGATTTTGATCCACATTTTATAAATAAGTTAACGAGGTTTGGAGGTCGTTGAAAACAAACCAGCTGATCGACAAGATGTTGGTTGGGACACCTTAACAGGGTCATCTGCACACACGTCGGTTGACTGACGTCGCTTGATTGCAGGGGCTGTCTACGCTTTCATCTTTATGTTCACGAATGCGGCTCCACAATCTGTGAGATTTTTTCCCACCTCGAGCCAAATGCGTCACAGAGACGAGGTTTATGGCTACGGTATCGATGCGAAGGGTTGAAACTAAGCAACTGTAAATGGAGTTCTCTTCGAAGTTGCTGTAAGCAAGACATACATCGGATTGATGAATGCAGTTAGTGAGTGCGGGGTTAGTTCGTTCACGGGGGACTCCATACTATTCACACGTCATCCCTCAATGGAACTGACCTAGTAGTTCGGTCAAACTGATGGGCATGGAACCGTAACAGCTAACAAAATCATTCCCTCTCCACACTGATTGTCAGCTGGTGGCCGATTAGTGTAAGGTTTCTGCCTTGTAATCCCCAGATTATCGGTTCGAACCTATGTAGGGGCGGCCGACCCCACAGTTCCCTAACCAGCAGGTGTGGTCAAACCAACCCGACCTTGACCTGTTCTATCGTGTGGCTGGTGAACTATTCTCCGTTCAAGTATCCCAAATAATAATTTATTACTATAATTGTGGTCATTTATATTACACGTTTTATTTGAACTTGCAGAATAACAAAGCTTATTGGGTTAACATTGGCCACTAAGCTAGTAACTTAATGCATTTTACAGGTGTTTGGATAACATCGACTATGCTAACTATTACTTATTGACAAAGCAACAACACAGGTGCTTATACTTACACTCTCTTAGAAACTTGATTCACGCTCGAAAGTGTGCCGTATGTTAAACACATGTCATAAAACAGGCCATCTTCACAACGAGTATTCTCAGGACTGAATATTCCAGTTCAGCATAAAATGAGTTCAAATTAATGACAAATAAAATTTCAACATATAAAACCGATTTTGCCACATAAAATAATAAAAGTAAGTGTCATCTAAGTTTTTACCTCTTTTAATGTTGACCCAAATTTACCACATTTTACGGTACTGTTTTCTAACCACTTAGCCGCTGCAGTCTAGTCATCCGTGAAACCAAAGAGCTCCATGGTTCTCTGTGGACCCTACATACAACGCTACTCCATTTATGACCCTATCAGGACTGTCCCTGTTCTTCCCCAGTTGTTATATCGAAATGCACAATTTTATGAGTACTTTCATATCGCATTACAATTTTTCGCTCACTACCCATTATCAACCGAGAAACGAAACTGTCTGAATTACCACGGGTGCACCTGATTTGCATCGGTTTCTTAGCTTTGTACCTCACGTCACGTTAGGCCAAGTCCAGCGATTCTCTCATCACTCTACATTCCATAACTCTTTCCACTTCCTGAAGTTTGGGATGGTCAACCAGCCCTATGCAATTTTATAGTACCGTCGTACTGGTTCGATTGGCCCTCTGCCCTTTCAGCGGATGACCTATCACTGGCTCTCACCCCTCCTTGTTCAACAGGTATGAGTCAGGCGTTGGGCATTGCGATCCCCGATATTGTGAGCACTCTATTGGATATGAAGATGCTGGCCTACTTTCGCACACAGTATTACATCGTGAACAACAAGGTAAGATCGATTTCTAGTCTGTACGACGAAACGTAACCTCGACGTCGTTCGGAATGGCTTCATTACACACTCCGATGCACCCGCTCAACTAACACTGCGTGTTTCTACTGGATTTGCGCCAAATGACTTTCAACTGTACATTTTGAGTCTGATGTCAAAAATCGAGTTCACAGTTTAGGTACGATCCATGTGGGCCGGTTTAGACGACTATGATTCTAATACTGGGTTCAGCTGTTCTAGCAATACTCGCTTTTTTATTACACGCATCAATAATGTCCTACAGCCGTCGGAGCGACGAGATGTCGGTTCACGATTGATCCTAGTAACAGTTTGACTTCCTGCTGCCAAACTATCATGCTCCACTTGCAACATTTGGAAAGACATTTTTACGTTCTAACGTGATCGCTTTGCTTGCAATTCTCTCGAACGAGTAACATCGGAATCATTTCCGCTTCCCATGTGGTCACGGTGGTTAGGAACACCGAAAACTTATCTCAAAGTGAATCGTAGTCCGAATTGAAATCGCCTGTTATGATTCAGCCACATGGCGGGTCTCACTTGAATCGTCTTCGTTTTTCAGACTCCGGTTTTCCAACTAATTACTGTTCCAATGCAAGAATGTATACTGCTGCCCAAATTCACAGCCATCATTCTAAAACCGAGTGGTATTTATTCTTTCGGCTACAGGCTCTACTCACAGTCGACTGCGCGGGCCCGTGCCTGCCTGTCATTCGTCTGCATCATCTGCGCAACTTTCAACAAATATGCCAATGTCTTGCGAATACCCGCTAATGAGCTTTGGTATTGATTCTGTCATTTGTACCTCGACTAATCAGTGGTCGTTTCAATGTGACCCTGCCACCACCATAGGCATTGCAGTTACCAAAAATAATTTCTTTGAAAAACCTACTACTCATGAGGCTACAGGTAATAGTTCTATGTTGAGCTTCTCCTTCTCCCTGAACCACAATTTACCCTTGTGCTACTTAATTTTCGAGCAAAAATAATTGCTAGTTTCATAGACGCAGTGTTACCGAATTTGTGCGTCAAAACGTCCCACTCGTGTTCCATCTAGCCTACCGCACTTTATTTCCTCGGTCTGGACGCAACATTGTGGTGACTTCATAAAACTCAACACCGATTTCATGCTATTAAAAGGAAGCGCGTAGTGGTAGGATCCGGGACAATAGTTTATCCAGTTCTCCATGATGGGAACCCCGCATTCCGCCCTGCTATTGAACCGAAGTCTAGAATTGCATATGGAACATTCTCCATCTGTCACATTACTCTGTGATCTATTAATTGGGTCGGTAACACCTGAATTAATTGCTACATTATCGAGCTACTTGTGAGAAAGCGTTTGCTGAAGCTTTAGTTGTTGAGGCGTGACATAAGAGTGTTTGGTATCAGTCACTGTATTTCCTCGTGGCAATCATCGATTTTGTGATCATCATCTGATCACTTGTTCGTCGTATTCGGCTCATTGTCTTCACATTTATTCTTCGTTATATGGATCACTTTTATAGATCAATTTAAGGCGCCGGCGTGTTACTACTCGTGCTGATAGGGATACTATAATGTGTAGAATCACTGAACTACCCCTCTAACTGTTCTTCCTGCTTTTTAGGCGGAAGTGAATCGACTCATTGCCTCGATGAGAGCACCGGACCCGAGTCGATGTATAGACAGAAACTGTCTTCACTGGACTCCGCATTCAGTCGCTCCAAGCATGAGAGGAGGACGTGGCAGTTCAAAACTGAATCGGTCCACTGTATCGGTTGAGGAAACGAGCAGTAACTCCGCGAACTAGACAGTGGATGCGCACATGGTGGCCCACCTATGATGCAATTTCTTTTGGGAAAGATAATGTACATTTTTCAATGCTTTCCTTCCCTTATTCTGTTGACGTCGGCAGGCTGTACATACTATTTCCCCTCGGAATCAATTTTACTATTTTTCTTTTGCTGTGTGTGTGCTATTTTTTAATTACCTTCAACTGGAACTTTTTTGTTCATGTGATTAAAACGATCTCCTAACTGCAACGCATTCGTCTTGTCCTATAACTCATAGATCATGAAGGTTAGATACCGCATGGCTTACTCTTCTTTTCCATATGTATTCCTGGTTCGACGATTACCAATGGGTTGGCCTGTATTTCCATCTTATGACTTTATATCCATCCAATCGCAAACCGTTTGAATTACCACCCACCATGGTACACTGGAATAATCACATTTCACAATTCGTATGTAGCGTCCACTTTGCTGGCCTCCGCTCACACCCCACTTACCCTACAGCCCCTAGGCTGTTCTTATGGTTAAAGGATATTGCGAAATAACGCTTCTACTTGAATGATAAGTTCTAGGCTATTATGCTTTTACCGCAGTCGATAGAAGTCCACCAATATTTCACATGGATTCTCTTTCCATAAATTTGAATGCAGGTGGATCAACCATGTACTATAATAAATGGGAATAAACCAATATTGATTTGTCACAATTTTCGCAACAGAAATACTGTTTGGTCTGACAAGCCTTCTTTTCTATCAAATGGATTGCAATTTTCATTCGCGTCATGAGACAAAGTGTTTGTAAGCTGTAGGAGCGGAATATTACATGGCTACCTGACGTACAAGGAAGAACCGCTATCGGGGCTCGGTGAAACCAGATAGTTGCATTTACTGAATGACAAATGTTCAGCTAGTGGAACTTAGTTCTCAAGTACCAATAGCTCTGATTTACCAATTTCCGGTCCAAGAACGAAAGAATACTGTTGGATAAAAGCACGACCTCTCGGCCAAAGAGTATATCGTGGTATTCCTCTGAATCAATCTGCCCGACGACATGAGTGTCATTATCTTGCAAACACACGCCGAGCGGAGTTTAACAAATCTCAATACCAGCTATTTCTCTTATTCGAGCTTGTTACTCACGTTGTTTAATTAAGACTTGTAAGCTGCATCAGACGGAGGCGAAATGTTGTTTTCCTACCAGTTACTAGATTTTCACTCAACGGAACAACGAAGAAGGAAATTGCCATGACGTCACTGAATGGTCACATCTCTTCCAACCGAATTGTGTTTAGTGGAATCGCTACGAATCAGTTTATTTAACATCTTATTTGATTGTGGTAACCACCAAAATCCGTGGATAAAAATGTATAGCAGTTAGCTATTTTACTTCGCACAGCTCGGTTGTAAACTTATACCAGTTATACTTACTTGCCATAAGCAAATTCTTGCCACACAGTAAAATCCGCACTGAAGCGCAACATGGCGGGATGAAAGAGTAACTCATCTTCCACATCAAATTATTCGCATAGTCTCAGAGGTTGTAAAATGGTGAGTCTAAGATTCTAGGGGGCGATCTCATGATGACCTATCAGATTCTGAGTAAACCCAATGTTTGCTGGGACTAACATAGTACGCCTCAACGTATACTTTGGGGTCAACGTGGTGTCTATCACACTAGACTTACAAAGTATTTTCTGCTCGTATATTAACCATTACTCTTGTGTCTCATTATACCCAAGTGCCTCATATTTGACCCGTAAACTGATTTGGCCAGACCTTACACTAGCGTGTTGACCATGAAATAAGCTAAAATGACAGCTGCTGAAGTGGCCATCTGATGCTGCGAGTTGTTGAGAAGCGTGCATGGACAACGAAGTCGAACCACTACGTATGCTTTGTATACTTATTATTTCAACTTTTTTCTGTTCCTCGGTTCAACATGCTTATCCTGGATTCTTGTACTTCAGATAAATGGAAAATGAATTTTCTTCAATTAAATTTGCATCTGTGGTTCGGACAATATTTTGAAATTTGTTTTTAAGAAAATATTTTGCTGTCCATTTGGATCTAACTTGTGTGAATCATACTGATACCACCGTTCCCAGTTTCGGCACATTCTTCGTCGAGTTTTGGTTGTGAAATCACATCACTCCCGAACTTTTCGAGGATAATTTTGGTCTCATTCGGTAGAAGAAGCTGAGGACGCTCAAACGACCCTGCAACCATCCCTACAGGCGGCAGCATAACAAAGTTACGAGACATTTTGCGTCATTCACCTACTAAACATCGCCTCCGAGACATTTAGGGTGCTTTGGCACCGTCCCGCGTGCGTCCTCGTGGAACGCGACCCCATCAATACACGCTGCGCCTTCCCGCGCTTCTGTACACACTGCTGAATCCTACTATCTGCGTGCGGCCGCAAGAGTGGGACATTCAGACAGCCACTGTCTCGGCGGGCTGAACTTGACGCCGGATCAATCAATCCAGGGTCCTGGGTAGGCCTAACCATCACATGTTCAGGTGCCCTGATGAGTGTAACTAACCGAGCCGCGGTGCATAAAGGCGCCTGTAGAATGTGCAATCAGATGGTCAAAATAGGAATTTTCTGTCAAAATTGCCAAACCTATTTCCATGAGAAATGGGGAAAATCACACCAAGCGAGTGCAGGCTTATCAGCAGCAGGCCTGACTCACTTTGGTTCTGTGCAAGTGTAATACTGTCCCACTAGTTAAAATCGTAATTCATCAAGAACACCAGTCTGAGGCAAACAATTGTTTTCAATGATTCATCTACAGGCCGGTACAATCATATAAGGTTAAACTACAAAGGGATGGATAGTGATTGGTTCTGTGGTTTGTTCTGAAATGACTCGGTCAATGGTTAGACAGTGAATAGTTCGTTGCTGTCTCATTCTTCCAGATCGATTGAGGGTTACGTACTCACAATGCCTGGGCCGATGTCAGGGTGACGGCTAGGCTTATGGCTGTTCGGCCAAGGTAGGTATGGAGATTGAACAAACGTTTTGCGAACACAGTGGGGGCTGGAATATGCAGATCGCAATGGCCTCTGCAGTGGCGAGCATCCTTAACCGCGTACCTTTCGATTTGCTCATTGGAACCTGGTAAATCACAGTCAAGGCATTTGGGAGATTAATCCAGTGACCACATTCGAACAGATGAGACAAACTACCGCTTGCTGGAACTCCGGTGGCCCGTTTACCAACCATTTAGGGCTGTGTTCTTTAGTGCGACATGAAAGTTGACGAGCCGTCCGACCAATATATGTTGCCCCACAAGTGCACTCAAATCGATAGATAACGTAAGAAGAGGTCAGCTTCGGCAGTCTGCCCTTGTTGCACACGGGAAGTAGCTGGTTCATGGGGCAGATTCATCGCAATTCCGCAGCCGGAAAGTTGTTCATTAACGATTGCGTCAGTTTACTTGTTAAAAGCTCACTAAATGTTTCACCTTTAAAAAGAAAGCGGATGAATAGGGCCATTCTCTCGACTACGTCCTCAAAGACCAATTACTTTGGGCTGTATGTTGCGCTGAATGAATCTTTCCGGCCTACCATTTTAGCGCAACGTGTTCTGGGTGGATTTCATGTCATCCTTCAGAGCGTCCTCTGAGCATATCATTCTCGTCCTTGAGATGAGACAGTGTGCTAAGTTACGCTTGTATTTAAACAGTACAAAACTACTGAAGTTTGTATACTGACCGGTTCACGTTTTTTTCTGTTGCTCCTCCTTAATATGGAACCGTCAGTTCGTCTACTAAGGTTTACATCCAGAAATGATAGTTGACCATCTTGTTCAAGTTCGTAGGTGAACTTAATCGCCGGGTGCGCACCATTAAACTCTGCCAATATATGCTCCAGAGAGATATCTTTGTGGGTCACACAAAAGATGTCATCCATATAACGATAGTAATGGTCGAAACGATCTATAGGTGGCCCCCGTGATTCCTTTTCTAGTTTAGCAAGAAAATATCTGCGAGCACTGATCCGAGTGGGGACCCCATTGCGACTTCATCATTCTACCGATAATATATGCCGTTGAAAAGAAACTGAACGTTGTAGGTACATCTCAGAAGTAATTCTTTGAGGCTTGATAAGGGTATAGTTAAATAAATATTGTTCTCCTGCACATAGTTGCGTAGATATTCTATTGTCTCTAGTAGCGGGACATTCGTGAATAAAGAAGCTACATCAAGTGAGAACATCTTCTTCTCCTTCAGGTTCCCATCTCTAATGTGCTCTACGAATGTAAAACTATCAGGAACACTACGTTGGGCGATTCGTTTTCTTATTGCCTCCAGCAATTCTGCCAACCACTGGGCTGTTGGATGACATGCGGTGTTTGTCATCGACAATATTGGGCTTAGAGGTACATCTTGCTTGTGAACTTTTGGCAGTCCATACATTCTGGGGAAAGATGTTCCAACTGACCTCAGGTTTTCAAACAGACTATCGGATATCAAACCGCTGGTGCATAGGTTTTTCAGGCCATTCGTCAGGTTTTGTTCCGTTTCAGTTGTTTGATCCTTCTCACCTGCATTTACAAAAAACTTCGTTTCATCTCGGAGAATCTGGTTTAGTTTCAAGATGTAATCACTTCTATCCATTAAGACTATACCACTTCCCTTATCTGGCTTGCAGATGACCATATCTTTGTTGCTGTTTCTTTAACTCTCAGGGAGTTCAAATGTTTACGAGTAATCAGGCCACGTTGATTCACCTGATAGATTCGATATTAATAACAGAAATTGACCAACGAGGACTTGAAACATTCTAGAGCATCAGTTGATGTCGCGACTAAATCTTTCGTTTGTGCTAACAGGTATTCAAGTTAGGTCTCGCTATCTAGCTGACGTTCGTTACTTTTCGGACAACAGAATTTCGAACCGAGTGACAAAACTTCAAGTAGTTCAGGCGAACGCACCAATTTCGAATAATTGTGAACCTACTTTTCTGGATGGTTCGGGAAAGCAGCCTGTGGCTTCATGAGGCTAAGTGATCATGCCAAGGCATCACGTTTCTTCTGCACTCTTCTGTCTACGATCTGTTGAACATAATCCACAAACTGCTGATGTTCCTCTACAGTGGGCGCATCAACACTGGTTTGTCTCTGAGCGATGTTTCATTGAAGTTCGGGAATTTTATCACAAATAGTGTCACGTTTGTTTAGGGCGTGACGACGGAGAGTTTT